GTGTTTTCCAATGGTCTTAGGTGACCCCTGTGAAAGGGTCGTTCGACCCCCAAAGGGGTCGCGACCCACAGGTTGAGAACTGCTGCTTTAGAACCATCTCTAGTCCTTGGCCCTGGATCTTCCCCCAGCGCTGCCCCATCTCTGGCCTCTGTGCAGAGCTGCAGGGAGGGTTCAATAGCGAGAGAACTGAGCTATGAACAGAGAGCCCTGGCCTTGGAACGATGACAGGGAGTTGTTAAAGTAAGGGAGAGACACGTATTATTTCTGGAAGAATAATAGATCCCAGCCATGACTCCACATGGCTGAGGATTCCCCACCACTGGGTCTTAGGCAAGGAGGACGGAGCTGATCCTGGATGGGGGGCTCTGCCCACTGCCCCCCATCTACTCACCGAGGATGACTGGGCCGGGGCCTGTGCAGACACACTGCTGCCAGGGGTGCTCCCTTGTCTGTTGGCCACCAGGCTCGCCTGGAAAGGACAATTCTTATCACTAGAGTCCCAGATCTCCCTTCGTCCCGCCCAGGCTCTCACCTTCCAAGGAAGTATGACAGGGTGGGAAGGAGTCAAACCTCCATTCTGCCTCATGTGTGACCTTAAGCGAGTGCCTCAGTTTCCTTTTTCATAATGTGAGGACAATAACAGTGTCTACCTTGTACGGTTGTTAAAAGGATTGAGCAAGGCAAAGCATTTGCTTGTAAAGCACTCCAATTGTCAGCTATGGTTGTTAGCAAGGTTTCCAGCTCTCAGTCCTCCACTCCTCCTCACTCCATCATATCTGGGCCCCCAGCCTACCGTCTCCCCTTGGCCAGCTTCTTGTCACTCTTCAAGGGTAGCGTCAATGTTACTCCAGCAGAGAAGCCTTCCCTGGCCGCCCAATCTAAGGTCTTCCTTGTTATTCAGTCACAGCTTACAACTGAGATGGGCACATATTTGTTTCCTTGTCTATTTGGGTTTCTCTTTACTGGCTGTCTCCCCACTATGAGCTCCAAGAAGACAGAATCCACAGTATACTCAGTGCCTGACATAAACTCTGGCATATAGTAGGTCCATAAAATATTTTGTTGAATGAATGAATGATGAGTTCTTCTCAGGCACTGATGGCAGAGAGGCAAGCTGAATGAGCGATGCCTTTGCTTGTGGACCTCTGTGACCCTCAGTCCTGTCTCTGTGGTACAGTGACCTGGTGAGGAAGGCCGGGGCTGGGCTGGGTGGGCTGAGGGTTCCAGCCACTCCACTCAGGAGCTATGTGACCTTGGGCCAGGTGTGTAGCCTCCCAGAGCATTCTTCCTCATCTGTCAGAGGACGCCGACGACAATCACACCTACTTCTGGGGTTCTGTGAGGGTCCAGGGAGAACATGCACGGAGCACGTGTGCAGTGCCCACTTCTCTTACTCCTGCAGCCACCATGACCCTGGGGCATCAGCAGCACCCTCTCTTCTCACCTGCTGCACAGCCGCCAGGCTCTGGAGCTGCGCGCTGCTGAGGTGCTGCTGCTGCAGGGCCGCCGTCTGCAGCATGAGGTGCTGCTGCTGTGCGGCGTACATCTGCTGCAGGTACTGGGCCGCGGTGCTGGGCTGCCTGTGCAGGGCCTGCTGGATCACCTGCGAGGGGCCGGGGGGCGCAGACAGCGCTCAGCAGCTGTGCCGCTCACCCCCTGCAGACCCACCCCTTCTGCAACAATGCCTGCCAACCCCCCTCTTCCCAACTGCTCAGAGAAGGCCATCAGGTCTGCGAGCACCACAACCAATCACTTCTCAGGGAAGCATCTCTGCCTTATCTATCTTGCATCTCTTCAATGCATTGCCCCCCAGAAGGGTCTGCCCTGTGTTGGCTGTCCCCCTTGACTTTAAGGCAGCCCACCACTGCTCTGACTCACTCTCAGGGTGGTGGGGAGGCTGTGGGAGACAGAAGTCCTTTAAGTCTCCAGTGACACTGTGTCCCATGCCAATAACACTCCCCTTCCCTTCCATTCTTCAGCCTCAGATTAGGGTGATTGGAACACAGGGAAGATGACAGAGGGAACCAAAACTCAACAAGGCAGAGAGAAGGAAAGTGGTGGGAAGAAAGAGACAACTCATAAGGGGAAAGGGCTATTGCCAGTTAAGCAACACACCAGTCAACTAAAACTTACCCAACGGCTATATCCTCCCTGCTTGGGGGGTGAGGGGGGGCCCTCGGGGCAGACTTGCACTGCTTCCCAGGGTTTGCTCCTAGCTGCCTGGAAAGTCCTACCAGTCCCTTTGAAGAAATCCCCTGGGGCTTGCAGAACTGGCAAGTGCCACAGGGTGATGCGTTACTCTCTATTCTTTCCCTCCCTTCCTCCATCACCCCTCTTCTGAGCCTTCATCCCCCACTCCCTGGCCTTACTGCCATTCTCTCTTTCCTCATGGGACTGGCTGAGCCAGTCTCAAGGAAATGAGGAAATGATAAAAGGCTCCTCTAACCGCACAGATTCAACACCACAGTTATTCCACTAGACTACGCTGACAGGCCCTCCCGGCCAGGCCTGGAGATGACCAAGGAATTCAATCCAAGATCAGCTGGAATCTCACCTGCACCGTCTGTCGGTCAGGGATGCCACTGTACACTGAAATCTGGGGCCCAGCGGGGCGGCCACTTCCACCGCTGCTGCTGCTGACCCCGCTGGCACTGCTGGCGACACTGGCACTGCTGGATGTATGGGGGACCGGCAGCTCATTCTCCATGGCCTGTGGGATGGCACAGCCGGGGGATTCAGATGGCAGAAGAGCAGGCGGATGCTGGGAGGAAAAAGGCAGAAGTGAAATATTAAAACACTTACCAGAGCGGGCACACGTATGCAGGAATTTCCCATCAGCCTGTGGGGGGACTACTGCACTGAGGTTCCGTCATCAGAAGGACAGGTCCAGGCAGGTTCACTAGGGGAGAGTTGAAATCAGGTCTGCCTGATCTAAAGTCTATGACCTGTTCATTCTGCTCAAGGAAGTAAAACCAGCAGAGGCGGCGGGGCTCCTGGAATGGTCTTACTGGGATCATCTCTCATTCCATCCAGCCCTTTATCTGTGGGATGGAGATACTGAATATCAGAGAACTAATTATTTCTCCACATTTATACAGATGGTTATTGAAAGAAATGGGAATAAAAATCTAGAGAGAACAGAATGAAAGGAAGAGGCCAATAAGGAGACAATAAAATAAACTGAAGTGTTTGTTTTGTTTTGAAAGCTGGAAGAGCTTTGAATATGTTTAGAGTCTCTGTTTTCTTTATGAAGTACTTGCTGAGTACTCTCCAGTCTAAAGCTGAGTAGGGCATTAGGTTGAGCAATTTGGTTAAAATTGCAGGGTCTGGAGTCAGAAAGACTTGGGTTTATGTCCTGGCCTTGCCACTTACTGGATGAGAAAGCTTGGCAAGTCACACTTTTCTGACCTTCTGTCTCTTAACTATCAGATATAAGAGTGTATGGATTGTTGGGAGGATAAAGTAAAACAATGATACAAAGTGCTTAGCAGAGCGTCAGGTATATAGTGAGTGGAGGGCTCCATGAACGCTGGCGGTTGTGTGGTTATTGAGACTGTCCCAGTGCTAATAGGTCAGTCCTCTTCCAGTGTGGAAGCGGCAGTACACCTTGGGACCTTCTCCCCACTCATTAAGGAGGCCAGAGATTCTTCAGGGACCATCCTCTGATCTGGATCAGAACTGGAAATCACACATCCCCTTGAGGCAATGACTGGCATTGGAGAGGGGCTGGGGAGGAAGAAGGGCATACTCAGGGAGTGAAAAAGGCATACTCAGATTTGAGCTCAAGTCCCTTTTTTTTCTTCTTTCATGTTGTTTCTAAAATAATCATTTCCATATATACACTTTCCCTCCTACCAATTCCTTCCTACATCAAAAACTACATTTATTGCCCTAACCAGTGTGGCTCAGTTGGTTGGAGCAGTCTGGCCTCCCTCTGCCGGAGGCGACTGGATGGGCCAATCAGGGGGACGGTGCCAGCCCCCCCCCCTCATTGCTGTTCCCTCCCTCTACCCACTGGCACACACCTTGGCTGGCCTGGCACTGCCTGCTCCCCAACCCCACCCCACCCACTGGGCCCCCCCCCTCATTGCTGTTCCCTCCCTCTACCCACTGGCACACACCTTGGCTGGCCTGGCACTGCCTGCTCGCCAACCCCACCCCCCACCAACTGGTCGGTCCACCGTTCGGTCAATTTGCATATTACTCTTTTATTATATAGGATACTCCTGACCTCTCCTTACAGGATAGGTATTATTATCGTAATTTTGTCAATGAAGCATCAAAGTAACTTATCTAACGTCATCCCAGAACTGGGATTCAAAACCAGGTCTGATGCTAAAGCCAGAACTCCTCTCAAACTATGCCCTCTGAAAGCCATCCATATTCCTGCCTTGCGCCATTACATTCGGTCAATTGGGCCAAGTCCATATTAGAGTCCATATTAGAGCATACTAGGTTTTCAGAGGTGAAAAGGAACCAAATTACTGAATATAGTCCCCTAATTATTAAGTAATGTCTATTGAATATTTTATACTGACAAAATAATATTTAATATATAATGTATACATAAAAGATAATGTGAATCCACCAGTTTCTTCAAGAAATCAAAAGTTAGCATTACCTCCCCTGTCTTTCCTGTGCAAAAACTGACGTCCAGGTTTTGGGAAAGTGACTCACTCAAGGAGGTAGGGCTCCTTGGAGTCTCCTCCAGTAGCCTGACCATGGGAGGCACCCTCCGAACACTGACTGGACTTGTGGTGGTGATTTAGTCAGCTCTGAGGAGGAAGGAGTCTGAAGCTGCTATATGTCACTTTCTCATTGGTTTCCCAGGGGAAGGGAACTTGGGTAGAAAAAGACAAAAATTAGGTGGCATGGACCTATATAGTAGTTTTCAAGCCTTTTCTACTACAGTTCCCCTCTTTGAAGCCAAGCTTGTAGGGCCTTCCTATTCCCACCTTCCCCTGCCTGAAAGCTCTGATCTGTGGGGAGTGGTGGAGGTTCAGAAGCCTCAGTGAGGGCTACTGAGGTATCTGTGGCCTCTCATGACATCCCAACCCTGTGGCCCCACATTAGAAAGTCTGAATCCTTAAACTCGGTATCTAGGCTTTAAGCATTTTACACACCCTTTTCAATTTCCTTTTAATTCCCACTCTTATTCCTCCCTTTTCCTCCTTCTAACTAGTTCCTTATTTCTCCCCCAAGGCCACCCATCCCTGTTGACTCCCACTATGAACCACAGCCAGATCTGATTAATGGCTCACATCCAGAACTGGAAGTCAGCTTTTCTCCAGATTCCAAATCACTGTGTGGTTTTGTGTGAGCCCGAGCTCTGAAGGCTGTGATTCTTACGTTAGTCAATTCCCCCTCCCAATCACAGGGGACCACTTTGAATGATGTGCTGACTGTAACCGGCTTGGCTAGTGATCTTATTACAGGTCTCAGCCACCCACGGGGCCTGAGACCAGCAGCTGGAGAAATGCTGATGGTCCTGCCCTCCCAGGAGCCGCCAAGTCTAGGGAACACTGGGCCTTTGTCCCAGGGTCAGGGAAATCCATTTGCTGCGGATTACAGCTGTGACAGAGGTTCCAGGGAAGTCTTGGGGAAAGATACTGAGAACAGCTCTCCAACTGGAGCTGAAAGCCCTGGAGTAAAGTGGGCTGGGTTTTCCTCATGCAATCGGAGACCGGCAGGAAATGAGAGGTCTAGTCTGCCCACAAGCCTGCTGGTGTCATCAGTCCTGCAGTGGCTTGTGTATGGAGACTCTGAAAAGGCCGGATGATGGGGCTCCTTTGCTATGGCTCTGCTTCTCCTCTGAGGTCCCTTCTCCGTCCAGGATATAAGTCAGTAATAGCAGTGTTCAGGCTCTCTAGACTTTGGGGCCAGAGGGCAGACCACCTTACACCCCCATTTGCCGCACACACTTAAGTATCCTGATTTGCACCAGTCCAATTGCGCCTTTGGCAGCTGTCTGAGGCTACTGATACATTGGAAACAGTCCAAATGGATTCAGCTCAAGCCCCCTCAAAAAGTTCTCCCTCCCCCCAACCCTCTGCTTGTTGCCCCCTTCAGTGTCACTAGAAACCACAGTAAGTAAATGAGGGCCAACAAAGATAGAAATAAAGGACGAGAAGTTAAAACTGACCGTGCAGTCTTAGCCGACAAAATAGTCTGGTTTCATTGTGAAATAGACCCCATACGTTTACATGGATATACTTTTTCTGAAACCTCCTTATTTTCTTCATAATTTATAGGAGGCAGGTTGTGTCAAGTGTTTCTATAAGCTGGTTGCTGGTTGTTTGAAGAATATGGGGAGGAAAGGGGGGGATATGGGCACCTTTGGAAGGCACATCTAGTTAAAGCCATGTGATGCCAATATGGTGTTTAGGGAGTGAGACTCAGCAGCGTTAGTCTCCCTGCTCTGAGACACGTCAACTATTCAGCCTGCAACTTTCTCTAAGGGGCCAGATAGTCAATATTTTAGGCTTTGCCAGCATATGGTCTCTGCCATGACTACTCTACTCTGCTGGGCAAACACAGCCGTAGACAAGTTGTAAGTGGAGTGTGGCTGTGTTTCAATAAAATATGAGTGACAAAAATATGTGGTGGGCTATTTTTGGCCTGGGGGCAAACCCGTTTTTATATATCAGTGTTTTTATATATGGCAGACAGTATGCCTGCAGCCTGTTGGTTAGCAGCACAGGCTTTTGTGTTGTTAAGACTGGGTTCAATTTCTAACTACCAGCCCAGTATTCTTGGCAGCTTACATTCTTTTGGGCCTCAGTTTCTTCAGCAGTAGAATGAGGTCACATTTCCCTCATGCAGTGGTTCTGTGGATCAAATGAGATGTCTGCAGAGCACTGAGGGCAATACTCAGCAATGATACATGTGATAAACAGCAAGGATGCGAGTCCGATTTGGGATTTGGAAAGTGACTCTTCTACCACAGTAAATAGTGAGGATCCCCTAAGTTATTTTTCATCATTGGTCACAGTCACACTTAAAAATCTCTTTATACAGAACCATGGTCTGTTTTCCCTATCTAAATTTTGGCCTTTTTATTTATTTTTATTTATTTATTTATTTTTTTAGGGCAGCTTTTCCAGAAGGCCCTTTAGGGACTTAAGATTTAAAGAGTCAGTCTCTAGGGCAGTGGTTCTCAACCTTCTGGCCCTTTAAATACAGTTCCTCATGTTGTGACCCAGCCATAAAATTATTTTCATTGCTACTTCATAACTAATGTGGCTACTGTTATGAACCATAATGTAAATATCTGATATTCAGGATGGTCTTAGGCGACCCCTGTGAAAGGGTCGTTCGGCCGCCAAAGGGGTCGCGACCCACAGGTTGAGAACCGCTGTTCTAGACAGTGATGAAGAATGGATGCTCTAGAGCCAAACTGCCTGGGCTCAAACTTCAACTTCCTAGTTTCGTGACTCCGAGCGAGTTACTAAATCTCTCGGCTTCAGTCTCCTTAACTGTAAAACTGGGACAATAATACCACTTTGTAGGGTTCTTTTATTAGATGAGTTAATATATGTAAAGCAGTTAGAAAAATGCCTGGCACTTGGCAAACACTTAATAAATGTTAGCTGCTATTATTATGATGATCATCATAATTATTATTGACATTATTAAGGATTCTGTAGAAAGAACTTTTACTTTGAGGCTTAAAGAGGGATGCTATGCTACTGGTTTCCCAGAGGACAATTACATACACAAACTTGGATCCAATCACTACGTTAAGTTGGTGCCTAACTTTAA